TAAACCAGAACTAGTTTTTATGTGACATTTGGGATACGTTTCACCAGCATCAAAAGCGTTGAGGAATTTTCTTTTGTACCAAGGCACAAAGCAGGACTGATTTTTCAACCTCCAAACATGTCAAAGGCAAGAGCCAGAAGCTGTGTGCTCGCTACAGTATCCACTGGACACAGGCTTCAGCCTCTCTCAAACAACTGTCAATTAAAGTGCAATTAGTCACACCAAAGCCTGCATTTGAAAAGGCCCTCAGCTCATTCCAGAGTCCCAGCGTCTCCACAGCAACCAGGAAAGTTTTGTGTATCTTCACGTCTATGCACCAGTCTCACGTTGGCTTGCAGCTGCTGGCCCTCATGAACTAGCTCCTTCTTTCCTCCAATGTGGCCCCCACTAACTCAAACATGACTCTCTGATTGATTGCCTGAAATCATGCTGCAATTATTGACTTTCACTGAAGTCAGTCATTTCTCGCCAGTTTTGCACAAACCGAAGTAGTGCACAAATGTAGAGTTGAAAGTTGTCTTACAGCATAGTCAGTCTTGTGCCAAGAGGATATAAGCATGAATGCTCAGTTTTTTTCTTTTCTTTTTTAAACACAGTCAGGCTGTTGAAAACCTTTTTTAGATTTTCTTCTTTTTTTCGGCAAGACATCATCATCTGGAAACACTTACTCTGTGATTTACGAAGGCCCCTATCGGATTTCCACCAACACAAAAGAGTAGACAGCAGGAGAAAGCTAGAAAGCTAATTCAAACCATTACAGAACGATTGATCGGCACAAACTGCAGTCTCAGACTTTTTTTCAGTGACAGATGTTTGAATGTGTCTTTGCAGTAAGGAACTACATGACATATTGAATAAACCTGCTACAGATCTTGTCAACAGCAGAGGTGTCTTAAAGATTTTTAATGCATCTAAAAACGTCTGTGCTCTCATTTTATTTCACTCTTTTCCAGTGTTTTTAGCTTTCATCTTGCAGTGCGTACTGCACTGTAACAGCGCCTGTCTGCCATTGACCCACTTTACAGTAAAAATGCCTTAAAGATACAATGTCTGGCTTCAATTACCCCACCCAGATTTGGCATACAACATCACAGGCCTCTATAAAATTATCATGGCGGTTGTAGATGTGCCTTAATACACACCGCCTTGTGATACTTGATATGTTCTCTCAGAAGTCCACAAATGGTTTGGACTAAACATTTCTCATCGGTGAGAATTTGAAGAGCAGTTTGAGCCCCTTCATCAGTTGAATGTAGCATGAAGACTTACAGTGCAGCATTTACAGACAACATGCAGTCACACAGCTACATTAAACTTACAAAAACGCTCTTGCAGGTCAGAGGTGACCAAACTACAACTCCCAAGCAGCACCGGTGCAGAGCCGCCGCTGAGTGTTGGCAGCAGGCCGGGCCAAAGATGCTGCTCGGGGTCCCAACATGACCGCTGCTCACCAACAGGACGAGCTGTGACGACCCCGGATAAGAGTAAGACATGTTTGTCATGAAAGCACATCACACAGTGCTAATGTCTCATTACTGTACAGGGGTGAGGAGAAGAACCAGGCGATTTATGATTTTTACATTTATGGGAGTAAAGTCAGAATTCCTAAGAATCTATTTTATACAACCTTGGTACTGTTGTTAATAAGAGCGATGAATAACTACTGATTGGGAATAAGCAATCATCTTAAGAAAGTTACTAATTTTCCCCTTCATGATTAAAGAACCAGTCTTATTATTTGTTAAGGTTGGGTGTGCTATTTTAATCAATACCCTTTAACTAAAATTGAGTAAGTACCTCCTCATGGTGTGCTAACTGTCCTCGTACACAGCCCTCTCTGTAATATTGACAACAAACAAATGGGCCTGTAGCGAGTCCTCTGCCAGCTGCTCTCCTTATGCCACTTACTCACTGACAAGAAAAAGAAAAACACCGGTCTAGCATTAGGAAATTCTTCCCTGAAGTTTCCCCTGGCAAAATGTGTTATATATTTAAGGGGTGGAGGGAAGGCGGTAGTTGTGAGGCTTGTGGAATTTGTATATCAACAACATTTCTCCAGAATGGCTTGCCACTCGATGTTGAAATTGCCCATGACACACTTGGATTTTGCACAACATTTGTTAAAAGGTATTCCGTGGCATTTTTGTAGGTTAGCCAACACAAGTGCCCCAAAGTGCTCTGCAAAAAATCTAGAAGCATTGGTTTGCAGAACTCGGCTAAAAATGACTGTTTTTTTCTTCTTTTATAAACTTTTTAATTCCTTTAATGCTAAATCAATCTAAAAAAATAAAGAAAAGTCGTGAACATGAACACATTGTAACCTCATAGAGCCCAGTGTGCAGTCTCCTTGTTGAATGAACAGTAAACACCTTAAAATTCAGCTATTAAATACACAAATCTAGAAGCTGGAGGAAAAGAAAGGATAATACGACCTATAAAAACAGCGTAAACCAGTTAATGACATCAATCATCTCATTTAATTCACCAGCTTCAGTTTCTACTTTGCCATTAGGACTTCTCCACCGTACAGTCCTCTCTAACGCCCTCTGTTATAATGATAATAATCTATATATGTGTGTTGTGGTATTTAGTGGAGGAGCAGCTTTTTCGGTCTGTGGAGGGCCAGGCAGCTTCTGACGAGGAGGAGGACAAATGGACCGGAGATCAGCAGAGGCAGGTGGCTGAAGTGAAGAGGATCTTAACCAGGCTGTCCTGCTGTGGGGAAAGGTCCTGCACATTCATATCTTCACTATATGTTAAAGCAGTGCACCAGATTACAGAAAGCTAGTGGCAAACCTGGCACTACTTTGGTGTTGCTCAGCTTGCTCTCCATAACAGGATAGCTACAGCTCAAGTATTTACATTTTACACATGTTTTTAATGAACAAAGTGAAACACTAAGCTCACTCAGATACATAAATAACAAATTGTTTTAAAAGCTGCATAAGGCTTGTGGCAAATCTGGGGGCAGAAGGTCACCAAAACACACTGACAGACACACAGTGTAGTTCGATTCATTTGCATACGTGGCAAAGATGTAAGCAAACGATGCCTAATACACATCCAAGCTCAGGACAGAATGAGATTCATGCAGAGTCAGGCTCTGTTTGACCAATTCCTAATAATAATAAACCTTCAACAGCTAGCTCAGCTGCTAGCTTTGCTTGTTTGTTGTTTGATGCGGGCAGGTAGTGTACAGTGTTTGTAGGTGTCAGTGAATATAGTATGTAAATGTAAACGTGGTGAGATAAATGGAGATGACTCACTAAACTTGAATGAAATCAGCTGCCTTTTGGTGATAAAAACAAGGTTGATGAAAGCTTTAAGCAAAATGCTAAAAGAGTCCAAAGAGCTCAGTAAAATAGCTGCATTGGGTCACAATCATTGCTCTGTCTATCACTCTGAATGTCTACAGCTTATTCCATTTCTTGTTAATTGAACTAAATGCTGATATGAGTAATACTGAACACAAATAATACTTTTGATCCGGGCTCACAGGGCTGCATGTATACTGACACCCACATTCACATTGTCATTCACACCTATGTGCGAAAATATATTTCACTTTCTGGTCTACGAGTATGCAAGCTCAACAACTTCAATGGGAAATTGTGAAAAGTTTTTTAAATTGAACTTGACAAAACATCTGGAAAACATAGCTTCAGTTGTCATATTTTGAAACAAGTCAAAAGACTAACAACATCGTATTTTTTCCTATTGTGCTTCAATCTTGCAATGAGTAATTGGACAAAGGAAAACAATGTCAATGTCTTTAACTCAGACTTGACTTTCCACAAGAAACAATGCTGAACCACATCATTTTCAAACAAATGTGTCAGTCTTGATTATGTGACAGCTACTGAAACTCTAAGTTTGACTTTCCTGTGGTACATGTCGTTGATCAGGTGCGACGATAAAGCATTCAAGAAGCTGATGTCTAATTTCGGGAGCTCGAGGAGCGAGGAGAGCTGCAGTGCTGTGGTGGAGCTTCTGGAGAGAGTGACCAGGTTGCATAAACAGCTCGAGCTGAAGGAGAGCCAGGCAGAGATCGACATGGACCAGGTACAAACCACCACTGACCTCCTTCTCACCAGGGTGGGCCGCTTAAGTGTCCTCTGAAAACTGTTCTTTCTGGACATCTTTCTGCCCGGCTTTACATCTTTAGTCATTTTGTGGCTGTTTTTGTGGTGTTTAACTGGATTAGAGAGGACTGGTAATGGTTGTTATGACCGTGGAGGGCTTCAAAGCCTAAACCACAGCTAGAGGCTCAATCCTGCAGCTTCAACTTAACCAAACCACCAGCAACGTCACCAGAGACACAGGGCGTGTGTGTGTGTGGGTGGGTGTGTTTGCAGCTGCTTCTCACTGGAACCAACCACAGAAACACTCCCCCAACATTGAGGAATATCATAAATTAAAGCTCTCCCGTTACAGTCGAGTAGTTTTTTCACAACACAGGAAGACAGACAGAAGGGGAACAGTGATGTAATGTGTTCCCAGAACGTCTCAGCACTCGGAGAGGAAAAGTTAAAACTAAACAAAGTCCTGACTGTGAGGCTTTGTTTATGTTCAGGATGTATGGGGTGAGACCTTTGTCCTTCAATACGCTTTGACGTAACGGCGCACTGCTGGGATTTCCAACTTTTTTGGAAGGCCAACCCACAGTACCATAGTGTGGGCCAAACACGTGACTCTAACCTCGACATCTGACATAAATTTACAGAGGATATTTATTTTGTTTTAGCATGTTTAGCAGACCTATGTTGTAGCATGTTACATCTGGAAGAGTGACATACCCAGTTGCTCTTGTAACAAGTCTGGTTGGGTCTTTTAGGCATAAGGCTGATATCATTTTAGGGTTTTCTTATTTTAAACAAATCATCAAGTATAAAAAATCAGAATCCAGCACTGAATTAATCACATTAACAAGTAATGTGTATGTTTCCAACATCAAATTTATCTTTTTCCTTTGTCCAATCGTGTAAAAAAAAGATCTTTGAGTAAAATTTTTGCACTTATACACACGTTCATTCTTACACATGTTCACCATGACCAACACAAGAAGCTCCAAAAGAACATCACTCAGCTCAAATCTTATAATCTCATGTTAGTTTGGGCCTTTCCATGGATTTTGTAGACTTTGTATAAAAATTGTGCTTTGTGTCAATTTTCCCACAATGGAATTAGAAGATAAAGGAGTTGCTCATATTTAAAACAAAAAAACATAGGGGCGCTGGTGGCCCATGTATGAAGGCCATGGTCCTCCAAGCAGGCAGCCCGGGTTCGAATCCAACCTGTGGCTCCTTTCTCACATGTCATTTCCCACTCTCTCTCTCTCTCTCCCTGATTTCTGATTTCCACTCTCTCTATCCACTGTCCTATCTCTGCAATAAAGGGACAAAAAGCCCAAAAATAAATCTAAAAAAAGAAACATAGGGGGGATAGTTCCAAAAAGATTGTCCCGCCCAAAAAACCTGAAATCTTATAAATGAAAAAAAAAAAAAAAGCCATTATCCATACTTTACAAAGTGATCAAGTGTTAGTGCTCCAAGGTGCAAGTTTGATTGTTGCCAGTTGACTCACATCTTGTTATTGTTGTTTCTTGTTTTGGTAACTGAGAACAGGGAAGGACAATGCTTTCTGGTATAAAATCACTCAAAGAAGCAGACTGCTCTGAAAATCATTTTTAAAAACTCACAGCACACATTTGTGTAGATAACATGGACAGTAACGACCAATAACGCCGAAAACAAGAATATAGTGCAAAAACAAGAATTCATTAATAAAAACCTAGACCAATAAACCATGTACAGAGGCTGTAGTCCTCCTTTCCCGGATGTCATTCCCCTCTCTCTCTCTCTCTCTCCATGATTTCTGACTCTATCCACTGTCCTATCTCTAATAAAGGCAAAAAGCCCAAATATACATTGAAAAAAAAGTCAGCTTACAATTAAATCGTCATAAGGACTGCAGTTGTAGAGTTGAAGATGTTTCACCTCTCTTTAAGATGCATCATTACTTCAGGCAGCTCACAGGCAGTTAAAGGCGTTTTTAAGCTCTCTGGGTTGAACCACCATGATGTCATATGAGTCTTTTAAAGCTATTAAGGCCACACGACGCTGACTTCATAAATGACTTCTTCAAAATACTAGTATAGGTATCAACTGTGTTTTTCGGGTGTGTGCTATGTCTTCCAGATGAAGGACTCTCTGTTGCAGGAGCTGCAGCAGAAGGCAGAGGAGACTGAGCTGCTTCAGATGGAGCTGCAGATGCTGGAGACAGAGAGGGTCCGTCTGTCGCTGGTGGAGGAGAAACTGGTGGACATCCTGCAGCTCCTCCAGCAGCTCAGAGACCTGGTTAGTCACAGTACATCACTTAAACATAAAAGCTGTGTGTTTATATTTAACAGCTTTCTATTGTTAAGGCTCAAACACATTGTTTTGATTTTTAACACAATGAAAAATCTTGACAAAAGCAGTTCTTCATGTGAACAGAAACTCTTCACAGAAACTGAAGTAATGAAAATCAGTTCGGCCCAGAGTTTAGAGAATTCCACCCACGCTGCACGGAAATTATTTTGTTCTGGTGAATACAGAAAGTGTCCTCTAGAATGTTTCTAGGACAAGACACCAGATAGAAACTGTTTCTATTTTTTAGAAATAAAAGTCCACTTTAAGCCATTAAAAAAGCTGTTTTATATGCTGTACATACATGCCTGTCACACGACTAGAATGTGACTTTGTTTATACCATCGTGATGTAACGCTAACAGTCAGGGGTTGATTAAAGATCTGAAAGAAAATTAATTTCACTTGTTCGACATGTAAGAGCCTCTGTGGTAACAAGAGTCAGATTGCCTATTAAAGTGCCTGTTAATTGCCTGAACGCCATCTGAGAATTCTCTCTCTGTTGGTACAGAACGTCTCACGCAGGTCTCTGGGGAAGATCTTGCTCAGCACTTTGGAGTCTTGTAGCGACCCGCAACACGGTAAGTAGAGCTCACACGCCCAGTAAACTCAATACAAGTCCTGTGAAATGTGATAATGGCATTTTACGGTTACCCAGGGCATGGAATTGAATTGAATTCTCGTTCACTCAGCGGCCACATCTGTTTTCTCTTTTTGCACAGGGAAAGCCCACATTCTGGAGGTGCTCAACGCTCTCTATCACGAACTGGCTGCCTGTGAGATTCTGTCAACTGGCGGCCCTTTGGAGCGAACACAGAGTCAGCAGTCTCTGAACACCCTCATCATCTCCTGCTAAACATCACTGCCTCCTGCTGGGCCAATCACCAACCAGCAGACTTTTTAAAGGACACTGAAAAGTTGAACAGTTGTCATAAACCAAGCTAATTACTGTGTATAGTGTATCATATGTCTCATATATATTCCTCAGGCCCTATTATCTATAAAGGGATGTTAGTTTAGAAAGTTAATTAGTGCAGCAAAATGCTTTCTACATATAAAGGAAATTCTTTCTTATATATTTTTTCAAGATTTTTATATTGCACATAACTCATTCATGTTTCAATAAGGATTTTTTCCCCCAAGTGAAGAGTTCTGAATGTGAATATGTTGATTTAAGCTAACCCTGATATATCATGTCAACTGGTCTGTGAAATGTATCTGGACAAAAACATCCCTTATAGAACTGAATAAATTCATCTCAATCTTGGAGATTCATCAAACATGTCTGCATTTCAAAATCCAATCTGTCATCTACAGAGTGCGACTGACGTTTGACCAACTGGGGGGGACTGCCTTTTTTAAAATGATCACTAAGCGATCCTCTTGATGCCTCAGGGTTGTTCAGACATCAGTATTGCATTCAGGGGTTCATATTTTTGCTATATATACACCCCAAGAATATAGGTTAACTTAAAAAGTACAACAAAAACACAAATACTGACAATTATAAACCTGTTTCTGTCTTTACCAAAACAGTCGGCATAAAGTCACAACAGTTATATCATATTCAAGCATCAGAAAGCTGCCTCCCCTGACATTGGACAATTACTAAGTTATTTTTACCATTTGGAGGTATGAGGGTGTTTGATGAAAAAAAACACTCATTTGTAATATAACACTGAAGCCTTTAATTGACAAAGTTTAGATCATTCTTATTGATTTAGGACTGTTAAAAGCAATGGCAAGTATTTTGTGGGGCTGTTTGCCTTTGACAGGTAAGCTTGAGAGAGACTGGAAATATTTGGAGAGAGTACTGGGATGGTACGCACCTTATAGCTGCAGTACCAGGAGTCTAACTGGAACCAGTGCAACAATGACTGTAGCTTCGGTACATCACACGGGGCTCCCTGCTGTTCAAACTGAACTAAGCCAGCACTGCAAAAGCAATGTCTTAATGTCTTAACTCCCCCTGCTGTCAACTTGAATAACTTGATTCACTTCCATGCTGCAAGCGTTAAGAAAAGAAATGAAACACTGAATACTTAAGGCAACATGACACACCTATACAACAGTTACTTGTTTGATCACTCAATTTATAGATATTTTTACAATCAATAACACACAACCTTTAATCAAAACTTCTATTGATAACAAATGTAACTGTAATCAATGGATTTTCTGGTAGCCTATACATCCTATCCTAAAATACATCTTTCATAGGATTCAATTCAATTCAATTTCTTTAATTGAATTTGAATTGAATTGACTTGAATCCTATGAAAGATGTATTTTATCATTTATTAGTAGGAGATTCACATTGCTGTCTGCACCTTAATATGTTCTTACAACACCTTGATAAGTTCACAAGTTATGTAATGTCCTATCCTTTGACTCCTTTTCATGGTATAAATACAAATTACACGCAAGCACTATTTTACTTCTACTTGTTTCTGCAATTCCACTGGATTCTACAGACACCTTCCAAACACCGGGTCCTATAGAGCCAAAGGCACAGGTAAAAGACGGAATTAGACCTTGATCCCACAAGAAAACCATGTCAATTGCTTCATTATCCAAGGGACTTAACGGTAACCTTATTTTCAACAAAAGCACAAAAATATAGCCTACTGCAGACTTCACATAAAGTGTCAGAAATGAAAATAAGAATATTCCTTATGCTAAAAGGGCCTTGTGCAGAGGATATATTTTGATTATATTTTAATCACTCCAGCTACAAACTACTAACTTTAGCCTCAGTGATCATTTTAACAATGTGCATTGCTTTTGTTTAGAAAATCTCAGACTACTAGGAAGGTAGGCTATTTGTTGGCCCAGTGGTATGAAAATACAAATGTGATGATTAAATATGATGAAACTCTCTATAAATGTGTAATGACCTCAAAATTGAAATCATTAACCTTCTATGCTGCAAACTTTACATTTTCCCACTGAGCTCTTGCCAGGATTTAGCTGAAATAGTTTAACCTATCAGTGATTAGAAATACGTCGCTAGGCAACGGCAATCCTGCGAGACGAAGCATAACAAGGAGTGAACCTTTATTATAAATTGATTAATAATTAAGGCTTCACTTGAACATTAGGTGCAAAGAAAACACATAGATAAGTTGAATTATTGAATTTTAAAATGTAACAAGAACTGTGGCGAAGGAACTTGAAAATAGTTGTCGTGTTCTCGCGGGATTTCCTGGGTTGCCTAGCGACCAGACTCTAACACACCAGCAGCACACCTGCCTAGGCGCGTTTTTGCTCAGAGTGATGCTCGTTTCTGGCTTAAAACTAAATGCATGTTTATCAGTGGAAGACGTTTTGGCATTACCTTTGTTGATTGAATTAATTCAAAAGTCATTGTGTAAAAAAAAAAAAAAAAAAGAAACATGGTCTCTGTCGTCGCACAGTCTCATTTTATCTTCGGCCTACGGACAGGTGTGGGTAAAACTTGAGTTTTGTCGATGAGCAAACTGTAGTTTTCCCGAGTGGAAACAGCTGTGTGTGCTACAACACCGTCCAAAGATGTCAGAGATTCATTCCAGGTATGTTAAATTACTTTTAAGCCCTTTGTCTGTTTTTGTGTTTTTAATGTATTGCTCTATTTGACTAACCCCTTAAATATTAAAGCACAGTTTACCCTAAAATAAAATGAATATACAAGTTACTATTTTATTTTCTGCCTAGTTTTTAAGCCTGTTTTTTTTACCCTATTTATGTAATTTGCATTGTTTTTGTGTCTAACAGGTTCAGAGAAAAGCCGGGCCATGCATGCTCTTGCCATCAGTGCCAACCGGCGTTACCTGGCAGTATCAGAGAGCGGAGAAAAGGCCACCATCACTGTGTTTGACCTGCAGCATGAACAGGGCAGAAAAAGAAAATCCTCACTGTAGGAGACATGCTTGTTCAAGAGTTTGTTTGCATGGCTTTCTCGCCTGACTCCAAGTACCTAATAGGCCAGACAGGTGGCCCGGATTGGATGCTGATCTTCTGGCTTTGGGAAAAACAGAAAGTCCTAGCCACAGTGAAGACCAGCAGCTCAACCAATCCTGTTTCCCAGGTGAGACATACATGCTAAAATCATAGCAGCCACAGCTCCCAGTAAACACAAACATCCATGCTCTGAGAGTGTTTTTATTTGTTCATGTCCCATCAGGTCAGCTTCAACCTTACAACAACATGCAGCTCTGTGTGAGCGGAACTGGCGTGCTCAAGCTTTTCCGCTACGCAGAGGGAGCCCTCAAACAGAACAGCTTCCCCAAAGTCGAGTCCATCGACTTCCTGTGCATGCTGGACGTCAGCAACACGGGTGATTGCTGGGACAGACACAGGCAGGCTGCTGGTGTTTGAGTCTGGCGAGCTGCGAAGAGAGATCGACGTGGCTCCTAAGGCTGTGCAGGATCCGTCTGATAGGTCAGAAGGTGGACTACATGAAATCCACACATAGTCGACTCTTACACATGAATGCTTACTGTAATTGTGTAGCATAGGCCAGGTGTTAAATGTAATAAGAGTACAAATCACTGTCATGGAGTCAGAGGTATTGCATTTTAGACTTTTCATTTTAGAAAAAGAATTAAAAATATAAAAATTTAAATATAAATATTATATTATAAATATTTAGTTAAGGATGCATGATTACTTTTTAGACTTCAAAAAGCCAAGGTGTTGTAGAGTCGACTCGTTACTTCATAGCAAAAACCTAACACTTATTTGAGACTTATTTGAAAACAAATCTTAGTCCCACCTCTGCTTTTGATACACTAATACAACTTTGCTAATACAAGGAGATACATGTTACATGTTACCCAAACACCCCCTGACAAATTGTTTTTTTCAGTATATATCTAACCATGGGAATGTGATCACACTCACAGATAAGTGCAAGTATAACAGAGCTTTCTCAATCACAGTATACAATCATAAAGATAGTGAGTGAGATGTTGCTGAAAACTCTGACAACATGAATTGAACTGTGTGTCAAACTGATTATGGGTATATTGACAGATTGTCATTAAACTCTTTCATTAAGCAAATTTCAGTTGTAAATCAATAACCACATAGCTCCAGTAGTGCATCCTAACCTTTGCAGAATCTCACTGCTTCTAATTGTATTAATTCACTGCACAGACAACAGGATATGAAGAAGATCAAAGACGATGATGTGGATGAAGGTCCGATGTGCCTCACATCACAGCCATTGTGTCGTACTCAAAGGGCTTTGCATGCTCTTTCGGGCCAGGCACTGTCTGCCTTTTTGAAAGAACGAGGACGAAGGTTACAGGAGAAGCAGGGAGATACAGGTAGAAGTTTATTCAGGTAGCAATACAACTAATACAACAGGCTCTGTGTGTATCACAAGTGATCATTTGTATATTTCTTCTCAGATCCCTCCAGACCAAACTGCAGTGAGCTAACCCGGCTGAATGTCAGTTGATCGACACAATGTGCATCAGTCCAGCAGAGGAGACTTTGGCCATCAGCACAGACAGAGGACAGCTCTACAGCTTCAGCCTGTCTATGTGGAGACAAACAAGGTATAAAGTCACACCTACCAGTTTACTGACTGTGTCTACACCATCGCTGTTAGTTTGTTTAAAACAGCCTCCTTGTTCAAAAAATATTTTTTGTTACATGAAACAATTTCTTACTGTCATAGATATTGTATTTTTAATAATATGGTACTAAAATACTTTATTATACTTTTCACTGCCAAAACTAACATTGTGCAAATATGTCTCTAATCTA